TTAAAACCCTACTCTCCTTGCCTCTTGGTCTGATCTTTTGGGGAGGCCGAGAATGGTTTCCCAGTCGGTTACAGATCAGAGGCTCCAGCCACGCCCACACCCCCGGAGCAGGTGACTTGGAAGAGTTGGACGCCCAAACCCTATGGAGCAGAAGCAAGATTAAAGGAGTGGCTGTCAAAGGGAGAGAGGGCAAGTGCCGAACAGAAGAGAGGGTGTGGCGAGAGAGAACAGGGTGAGCCCAAGGCCTGGATTCTGTTTTTAGAATCTCTGTGCCTGGAAGAACACAGGTAGGTGGAGGGGAAGCATACCTAGGCGAGGTCAGGTCGTGTCTGAGGAGACCTGGACTGGTCCACGGAAGATGGATGGGGAAAAGCTGGCGGGGACCAGGAGGCGGGGGTGAGGACAGGGGCGGGGACGTGAGACAGTGTCGTCAGGTGGGGTGGCAGCTCACACTGTGATGGGACAGATGCTAAAATTAAAGGCAGGCATTTGCCTGGGTGGATTTTCAGAACTCCACTCCGCAAACCCACTTCTAATAGTCACCGGAGCTGTGCCTGAACTTTGAGCTAGGACAGGCTCCCCTCCCTCTGCTGGGCCCAACAGCCTGCATCCCTGCCTGGCCTCCCCCAACCTGAGCCCGTTGCCCCAGACCCTTCCAGTACCTCCTTGTTCAGCCCTGGGATCGGAGCCCCGGGTCCACCTGCATCAAGAGGAACCAGCAAGTTCACGGGATGTTGCTTCTTTCTCCTGGTGACAGACATAACCATCCTGAGGACCATGACACAAAGATGGGACAGCCCAGGAATGAAAACTCTGGGTGGAGTAGAGAGGAGAGCGTGGGCAAGACTGAAAGCAGAGAAAAGAATCTGCAGAGCAGTGGATGGCTTCTCAAGCGGGATTTTAGGGAACAACACTCAAGTACAAGAGCCCTCATGTGTGATCAAAGAGCCAGGCACACAGAGTTCCAGCAAAGGGCCAGAGCCCAAGGAGAGTCATCAGGACAGGGCACTGCCCCTCCAAGGAGACAGGTGGGGGAGGGGGAGGGCTGGCTTTCAGAGCCCTGCTCCCTAGGAGTATCTCACCTGCTGCTCTTGGAACCTGCTGAGCTATTCCTTAGGGTGACAGAGAGCAGAGTGAGCAGTTGAGAGGAGCGAAGAGAATGCCATCAAAGTCCAAGACAGGCTGGAGGCAAAACCGGATGGGATGATTGTTCTTGGTTTTGCCAAAACCCCCATTCTTGTAGCATCTTAACTTCCTGGAACAACACGACAACTCTGGGAATTTTTGTCCAGAGGAGCGTCCTGCTAGAAAATCAGGATTCCCCTTCCATGCAGACAGGCTGGGCAAGCCTTCCTCTTTCACCTCATTTACTTCCCAAATTTCACTCCCCATCCCCAGGCAACAAAACCATTACAGTTAATTAATACCACTGCTCTGGGGAGATGCACAGGCCTTCCAGGGGTCTCTGAGGACAGAGAGGGGCACAGCTTGAGCAACCCTGAGTGCAGTCTCCTGGTGGGGTAGTGGAATTAATGAGGGGTGGGCGGTCGCCCTTACCTCTGGGTGCCAGATGCAAGTTCTGAAACAGTCCTGAGCTTCTCCTGTGGTCATCAGGTTGAGGGGGAGGAAAACATGGGCTTGCTTCATGGCCAGAAGGGAAGCAAATGAGGGAAGATACCGGTGGTCACTGGCTTGCCCAAATGCCATAGAGTTCCATCCTCTCTTGCTGTGGGCGCCCCCCCAGGAAAGCTCCCTGGGCTGGTCCTCCTGCCACTTCCCAAGTCACAGTAATAATCAGGCACTCTTCCCAGTACTTGCCATGTATTAACTCAGCTAATCTTCAAGCGCATTTCACAGATGGGGAATTCGAGGCAGAGAAAGGCTAGAAAATTAGCCTAAGTTCTTACAGCTCCACAAGGCAGAACTGGGATTCGAACCCAGCTCCAGAGCCTTCACTCCCAGTCAGCACATTGCACTGTTCTTGAAGCTGACTACAGCCTCTTTGGAGGGCACTACCGTTTTCTGAGTTTCTGCTTGTGGAAGGCTGAGATGGTATATGGAGAGACAACAGGAAGCAAGAAGGATGTGAGCTTCTCGGTAGATCATCAGCAAAGCCCAGAACTGGTGTCAGAGCTCCTGAAGGCTCTCAGTCTATTCTGAGAGGCCAAGTTCTGTTCTGAAGCCACGTTCTGGCAGCGTCCACACGAAGATCCTCCAGGGTCACGGCTGACCCTCACAGGACCATGGCAGCAGCCACCCCTTTGGACCCTAAGGCACGTGCCATTCAAAGACCTCTCACCAGGACACACATTACCCAGAGCCTCCCCGATGGCCAGCCTGCCCCAATGCTGCCGGGAATCTCAGACGCCCCAGCCCTGCCACGGAAATGCCAGCCAAGAGCAGTGGCCAGCATGCAGGCTGCCCAGAGAAGCCCTGTGCCTGCAGCAGCAACAGCAGCCAGAGTAGCAGAAGCAACCGATCCCAGCTGGCAGGGGCGGGGGGGGGGGGGGGCGGGGGCGGGGGAGGGGGG